ATCTCAAAGACTCGGGTGGAATTGATGTTTACAACCAGTCTATATTATATTGATTGGCGAAGTATCTTGGCAGGCTTAACTCTCGTTCGAGACCATGGGTGGTGGGAGGTGATTGGAATCTTGGGTCGTATCAGCTTCGCGGGCAGCAATGGCTTGAACAGATCCAGGCGGTGTTTTCGGTTCCTGCCGGTGGTGCGCGCAGAGTTCACAAAGAAGCGGAAGGTCGTACTTATGATTGGCTTCTTCTTAATCAGGCGCTGGCTTCGCGAGCTGGTGCCCCCGTGATCTTGGATGACAGGATTCCACCCGCACATTCGCCTGTCGCCATTCCATGTGCTAAGACAGATAATGATATATGGTTGCGCTTGCCTGTTGAACCTCGTCGGCTCCCGAAAGGACCACATGTTGGCTGTTCTAGGTATCCTGTGAATTGGGTGCCAGTCATGAGGGCGATAGAGGATGTTGACGGGCAGGCCTCATTGCAGCATGCATGGGATATGACTTTGATGGCAGTTGAGCAGGGGGTGCGTGCACGGCATGACAAGGTAGGAGCTGGTCATGAGAGGTACCTCGGAAGAGGAGGACCAGCGCAGACTAAGCATGTCAAGGCGCAATGTAATCCGCGACAGGTGCGACTACAGCACGGGCCGCGACTTCGAGCTTGGCTTCAGGCTGCGCGCTGGGCTAAGCATCTAATGAAAGTGAGGGCCTTCTGGTGCAAGACGGTTGAGGCGTTCAAGCTTGAGGGTAGGAGCGCTGGCAAGTATTACCTTCCTGACTACACGAGTCCGCACTCTGACAGGGTCGTAGTATTGGAGACTATGAATGAAGAATTGGAGGAGGCTTGGCAGAAGGTCAAAGCCAAAAGGCCACACTTGCGACCCAAGTCTCGGCGCGCGGGAGTGAGGTTGGAGAAAATGCGGTCTGAACAGATGAAAGGTGAACAACCATGTACACGGTGTGAAGAGGATCTTAGATCCCACAAGTTGCTCAGACCAGCTGCACGATTGGCGAGATCACTTGTTGATGTTGTCCACTTCTTGAATAAGGTGCACACTGCGCAGGACACGCTGCAGCAGCTGGATGATTGGGCAGTTGATTTGTTTTCTGGAGATTTCACTATGATGGTCAGACCTGATTTTCTGACTTTGGCATTCAAGATTGTGGAAGTTGCTGATGATATGATGATGGTGCATCAGAAGGAGGCTGACAAATCTTGGCATTCATGGGTCAGGTCTGCCTTTGAGAAAGGAGCCGGTGCTGCACATCGAGCGTCGAAGGCAAAGGCATTAGAAGTCGCTGTCACTCACACTGATAACTCTCAGCCGTACCAACTTGCTGACAGAGAGCTTGAGTGCTGGAGTGAGGCATGGTGTTGTCATGAGGTGGTGAGCAACAAGATGCCCGCCGATTATCAGAGCTGGGATCTGCTACCGAAGCTGCAGCCTGAGGACCTTCAGGATGCGGCGCTTACTTTTCCATGGAAAACGTTGGTGGGTCCCACGCGACTGCATCCTCGCGCTTTCTGGTATCTGTCGCAGCCAGGCTTGGTTGCTCTTGCAGCTCTTTCTACGATGGCCGAGCACATGTTGATGTGGCCGTCTGACAGAATAGTCAATGAGATGGTTAGACTAGCAAAACCTGATGGGGGAACACGACTAATCACCTTGGTCGAGTCGCTAGTCCGTCTTTGGTCCCGAGCTCGCCGACCGATTTCCAGAAGGTGGATCTGCGATCATGGTAGCAGGTGTATCTGGGGCAACCGACGAGGCTACTCTTCCAGTTTCTCGGCTTATGAGCATAATTTGCAGGCTGAAATAGCTGATCGGCTAGGTGAATCTTCAATCACGATATTCTTAGATATGTGGAAATGTTTCGAGGCGGTTATGTATGACGCCCTCATCATAGAGGCTAGGTCCATGCAGTTCCCCACGAGGCTCCCCTGGATGCTCTTGGACTCGTACTCGCAACCTAGAGTTATTCGGGCGTTTGGGTACTGGAGCAAATCGTTTCGGGCTTTGCAGGGTATACTTGCGGGATGTACTCATGCTACTACTCTGCTGTCTATCTTGACTTATAGAGCTGTCATAAAATCACCCAGGTGAGCCCCAACGTGCACCCCAGGGCCTTGGTCGATGACTCCACCCTTCAGTGGACTGGGCCCAAGGAGGATACCGCTCATGAGTTGTTCAAGGGGGTCCAGAGCTTCGTGAAGGACACGTCCAGGCTCGGTCTCTTGCTCCAGGTCAAAAAGTCTGGGTGGGTGGCTACGGCTGCATCGGCTAGGCATGGGTCTGGAAGGCTTGCTCAGAACATTCACTTGAAGGCGAAGTCTTGGGTGAGGAATCTGGGGCATGAGCTCAGTGGTCCCAAGCCGATCAGAAAGCAAGCCGACGCCAGGTTGAAGCAGCTAGCAGATAGGCTACCCAGGTTTGAGATGTTGAGACGTGGAGCTAGTAATCGGGTGACGGCTTTATGGGGGGCAGGTCTCATGCCAGCTGCTGCTCATGGAGCCACAGTTTCAGGTGTCAACAACAGTGAGCTGGCCAAGTTGCGGCAGACGGCAGCAATGTTGGCGGGGCGGTCTAGTAAGTCTTCCTCCCTCACGCTTGTCCTTGCCACACAGGCTGACGCCAAGTACGACCCCATATATGATGCTACGCTGGATCCAGTGCGGGCCCATGCGTCGTTCATCTGGGACCAGAGGGTTAGTCTTGGGAGGCTTCAGAGGGCGTGGCAGAAAGTTCGAGAAAGCTGTTCGTCACGACCTTCCTGGCCACCAGCCAAAGGTCCAATAGCAGTGCTCATACTAACGTTGGCAAAGGTAGGCTGGGATATGTTTTCCAGTACGGTGCTGGTCAGTGAGCTTGGCCACCACTTTGATCTTCCCCGTCCTCCTCCACGCTCGGTCGTGGAACTTGTGCGCCAAGGCATCGAGCGATGGCAATCTCAACAGATTCTTGAACATCACAAGGAGGTATGTGTAGGAGGAGAGATCATCTGGACGAGGGCGTTCAGGAAGTGCATTGAGGGAGGTAAGGCAGTGATTAAGAATGAGAGATTCGCTGGTGCACTTTGTTCGCTGTGGTCAGGACCGCTATGGTCTCGTGACCGTCTTGCACGCGCTGGCTATAGAATATCTCCTGCCTGTTGCTGGCGCTCGGCCGACAAGGCCACCATCGGGCATGAGTTCGACG